ATACGTTTTTAAGGATTGCCGTTCTGTGTGAAGCTGATGAAGCCTGTCTTTACTCTTTGGGGAGCTTCTCTTCTAATGAAGGGACTTTTTCTTCATTCTACTTGTCTAGATTTCAAGCATCCATGATTGCTACCTACATATGACAAAGCTCTCTCAGGAAAGATTCAGATATACTCAAATTAAGTTGAATATTATGGATCAGAGTGAGAGGTAGTCTGAGTACACTCTTATGACCTCTACAGGGGAGAACTTTAGTCATTTTCTAGGACATGGAGAAGCATATGACAGGAAGCATATACTGTTAATGTCATTTGAAGGAAGCACCTAGCATACTGCTGAGCATATAGTAGGTGCCAAATAGGGTTTTGTTTTCTCCTCTTTCCTTTCATCTGGTATTCCTACTTGATTCCTTCCTTTCTTCCTCCTGTAGTCCTCCCTTCTTAGGAAACTTTTAAAAGTATGATACAAGAGTAATCATTACTTATCTGTATTGTCGATCAGCTCTTCCTAAAATGCCAGTCAATCTGGCAGATGAATGTCTGATTATTAAGTCCCAGGCTCAGGCAAAGACTACTTAGCTTCAAATTCTATTTTCCTCTTTCATTATTACTGACTGATCGCACTATGGATATGACCAAAGACTTGGTACAAGCTATGTAATGCTCTTCCCTGAGCTGCATCACTAGCCACCTCTGTTATTATCAGTCATACAACATGATTTATAAATTACTAAACCTTTGTTCCTCAGGTTACTCGCCTGCAGTGCATGATCCTAGCTATATTCTCATGAACATGTCCTATGAGTTAAAAGAGGTGAATCACACTGTGTGCTTGTAATTGACTCAGGGAAGTGTCTAATGAATGTAAGCTATAATAATGTTATAGAATGAGATGAGCTGGCATTTCAGTATCTTAAAGAAAACTGTCATTATATCTTACTATATATGAGCACTTACTTTGTGCTCATCTTGATCTGCTGATTTTCTTTAAAATTCTCATTTAGAGTTTCAGTCAAAATCTTACTAGATATGAACATTTTTTCCTGATGCATTTTTTAATCTATATTAGGTATGTACATAGATACAGATTCTGTATATCATATATCAATTATGTCATTTGGACATATCTGTTTTGTTAAAATCTTCTGCCCAAACAAGTTTGGGCTCTGATGTTTTATAATAAAAATACAAAGTGTCCCTGTGCTCATGTATATGTACTCTTAGAATGGATTACGATGCTTGCCTGACATTTATTGAAGATGTATAACTGTAGTGGCTTCTTGGTTGGTAGTTTTCTGCTTTCCTGTCTTATTATTGAATAGGTGCATAAGGTTTTACTTCACGAAACTAATGTGAGGAGAAAGAGCCGGTGGTGACAGAGTGTGAATACGCGATGGGAGAGTTGATTAGACGTAATGCTTCCCACTGATGGGCCTGAATGTTGGGGATCACCTCTGAGTTTGAATCCAGCGACAAAGACACTTACTTGAATGCTTCATCACTGGAAATGGCATAATAGAAATTTTATATATATATATATATATATATATATATATATATATATATATATAT